AGAGAGAGAGAGAGAAAGAAAAAAACAACTCCAAAGAGCACACCTGGATGGATGAGTTGTGGACTCCAGTAGTATTACTCTCTGGTCATCTCTCTGCTGACCATAGCATCTCTGATGCTATGACCATCTCAAACCTTCTCCACCTCCTCTGCCTCCAACCCCCAGGCCTTCACATAGAAAAGCTAAGGCCAACACAAGGAGCCCCCACAATTTCCAGCCCCAGCTACAAACCCATCTCCTTCTACACTGCTCTCTACCCCCACCTGTTGCCACAGAACAGTCATTACAAGGGGACATTCCGGGCTCCCTGGCAAATGCATACTCTGCTTCCCTCACTCTCTCTCCTTGTGCTATAGCTTCAATCTTCTATGCTGGTTCCTTAACATTTAAACATGGTGATGTCCTCAGCAATTCCTATCTTAGCTATATACCCAACAGATATGTACTAGAATGTTCTTAGTAACACTATTTAGAACAGCTCCAAATTGAAAATCCCTATCCTCAGAAGGTTGGACAATCCTACATCCGTAGTGATACTGCCTCGGAAACCCAAGGAGGGGTAGCTATGAGTTGGGGCCGACTCGACGGCAAACAACAACAACAACAACAACATCCTCAGTAGCAGGAGCTCTGGTGGTACAGTGGTTAAGCATTTGGCTGCTAATCAAAAGGTTGGTGGTTCAAACCCACCAGGCACTGAGTGGGAGAAAGATGAGGCAGTCTGCTTCTGTAAAGATTTATAGCCTTAGAAACCCTACAGGGGTCGCTATGAGTTGGAACTGACTTGATGGCAGTAAGTTTGGTAGTCCTCAGTAGGGAGCCCTTGGGTGATTCAAATGGGTAATGCACTCATCTGCAAACCAAGAGGCTGGAGGTTCGAGTCCAGTCAGAAACACCTCTGATGAAAAGCCTGGAGATCTATTACCAAAATAAACAGCCACTGACAGCCCTACAGAGCACAGTTCTACTCTGACACCCATGTGGTTGCCATGAGTTGGAGTCGACTCCACGTAAGTTGGTTAGTTAACAGGCTGTCTTTTACACCCTAAGTAATGAAGTGGGGTAGGGAGAGGAGGTAAGGAGCAGGAATGGTCTTTGACTAGTACTGTCGTGAGAGGCACAGGAACTCCTTAGGCTTGGTGTGTATATAAAGCTGATTCTTCATCTAGTGGGAGCTGCTGTAAGTTTTTCCAAAACTCCCTAGTTTCCGTCATTATTGGGGTCTTTCACTCACAGTTCCCATGGGGTGGGCTGATAGCTGACTTCTCAGTCCCTGTGCATCTATCTCAGGCTCTACCTTTAGCTTTTTTGCTGCAGAGGCCTTGCCATCCCTCCAGGTGGCACTCTTGGGCAGGTTTTGCAGGTAGGTAGCCCTATGCTGACTAGCTCTCCCAAAGCCCACATCTGGTCCATGGAAATTACATATCTTTTTCCTCTAACAGATCTTAGGGGTACCAGTGTCGAATGCAACAAAATCTCTTTACATCACTATCAAACCACCAGTTAGCCAGCCAGATGTAAATAAGCAGATTTATTGAGGTATAATTTATATAAAGTAGAATCATTTGTTTTAATATATATAGCCATTTACCCGCACCACATTCAAGACATAGAACATTTCTGTCATCCAAAAAGTTTCTTTGTACCTCTTCGTCCCTTCTTTTATCTCTGGCCCTTTGTAATCACTGGTCTGATTTTCATCCCTATACATTTGTCTTTACGAAAATCTCATGTAAATGGAATCATACAATAATTAGTGTTTCACATCTGGCTTCTTTCACTTAGTATAATGCCTTTGAGAAACATTTGTGTTTTTGCATGTACCAGTATGTGTTTTCATATTATCCCTAAGTAGTAGTATTGTAGCTGGGGACCACAATTTGTTTATCTATTCACCCATTGATGGATATTGGATTGCTTCCAATTTTTGACCATTATGAAAACAGCTGCTATAAACATTTGTATACCAGTCTTTGTGTGCACATACGTTTTCATTCCTCTTGGATTAGCATCTAGGAATGAAAGTGCTGGGTCCTATGCTAAGTGTAAGGTCCCTGGTGGCACAAGCGATTTACACTTGACTGCTAACCTAAAGGTTGGTGGTTTGAACCCACCCAGAGATAATGTGGAAAAAAAAGCCTAGTGATCTGCTTCTGTTAAGATTACGACCAAGAAAACCGATGGAGTGGTTCTACCCTGTGGTAGTTCTGTTTGAATGTCAACTTGGCTGGGCCTGGTTGAGTGGCTGGGCAGCTGGTGGTAGTTATTCCCCATGATGAGTCTGGCAATCAACTCCGTGGTGGGATCTACCACAAGCAGCTGGGTAGCTGCCTTTGGGTATGTGGTCTGCTTCCTGTATACAAGGAGAATCCTTGGGAATGGTTACTTGCCTATGGCACACTTGGACCCTGCATGTAACCATGTCATTGTTTAGCAGCCTGCCATGCTCTGCCAACCTTGGGATTTACAATGGACTTAAGTTAATGGCCTGCCGTGTGGTTTGGTAACATCGGGACTGTGCCTTTTTATTTGTCAGCCTTGGATTTGTCAGCCTCAGCAGCCAGCAGCTGTCTGAGTGAAGAAATATTCTAGCTTCAGTGGGCCTGGAGCAGGAGGCAGAGCTGGACCCCAAGGTTGAGGGGCTTTCACCTAGCCCCTAAACCTGGCACTTTGGACTTGGACTTGAAGCCTCCAAACTGTAAGAGAATAAACTCCTGTTTGTTAAGGCCATCCCATTTGTGGTATATTGTTGTCAGAGTGGCACTAGGTAACCAGAACATACTCTGACACAGATGGGGTTGCCATCAGTCAGAACTGACTTGATAGGACCTAATAACAATAACTTCATCTCACCTACTTTGGTTGTGTTGTCAGAAGGGACCATTCACTGGAGAAGAATGTCATGCTTGGTAAAGTGGAGGGTCAACGAAAGAGGGGAAGGCCCTCAGCAAAATGGATTGACACGGAGGCTGCAGGAATGGGCTCAGATATAGTAGAGATTGTGAGGCAGGCACAGGACTGGGCCGTGTTTTGTTCTATTGTACATAGGGTCACTATGAGTCAGAGATGACTTAAGAGCACATAACAACAACAACAGCAACAAATAACAATAACATGGTAAGTGTATGGTTAAGGATGTAAGGAACTGCCAAATTGCTTTCCAAAGTAGCTGCAATCTATGAAAGATCCAATTGCCCTACATTCTTTTTTTTTTTTTTTAATTTTTATTTTGATTTGGGTGAAGATTTACAGAGTAAATTCACTTTTCATACAGCAGTTCACATAATATACTTTGTCTCATGTCATTGACCAAAATTTACAATGCAACAGCTCCCCT